ATTTCTTCTCTGGAAGCAGGGGGCAGCTAGCAGGTGGAGTGCAGGTTGGGCCTTGTCACCAGTCTGAGAATGTAGAGGATCGTGTTATTGACAGGCATAAGCAAGTGACCATGCGCAATATAAACACCTGGTGTATGCTCAAAGGATCACTTGCTTGTGCAGTCAGCAGTTTGGTCTTGGCGTTTGAGGACGGTGAGATGCCTTACCTGAGTCAGTTAGTCACTAATTTATGAGACAAGATGAATTGGAGAAGGGTAGCACAAATGTCCGTATGTTATAACTTAGGACAGTGGATGCAGGTAAATTGGAACAAGCTTGAGGAGGAAGTATTATACTCGCTCTAATGCGTAGCAGACTAGGCTTCCGAATCAACTCATAGCTCCAAACGGATCTACCAGAAGGTCCCGGAATTGTCAATTAATACTGGGCGGACAGAGTCAATTTGACTTAGTTGTAAAGCCTCAATTGCTTTGCGCAGAAGATGGATGATTGAGAGGTTGTTGGGTACACTAAGCAGATGCATATAAACATCACATAATATCGAAGACTAGCTTCAGGCAGAAACTTGCCTTGGCCATCAAACGCGCTAATGACTAAGAGACGTGAAGTAAGTTTCGTACACTCGAATCAATTGAATTATGCGCAACTAAACTTTGACAGAGTGACACTGTGGAAACAGAAAAGGTCAATCCAAAGAGCTCTGCTTTCCCAAGATGTCTTAAGTTAGCAATTTCAACGCAAAGAACGATTTTGCGGATATAGACCTGAATGATGGGGGGCCTTCGTGACCGAATTATCGAAAGGGTTGTAAGCATGAACGAACGAGACTTATTCCTCTACAACGAAGAAGGTGTGGGGACTTCAGCATGGCAGTGAGGTTGAAGTAATTTTACAATGGTTTTCAATTGTTTAGTAGTATAATTTACATAAACATTATCAGGTGTGGCAGTGACTATACATTAACCAGTTTGACCAATTTCACAAGTTGGGCTCTTTTAAACTGTGCTGCGAAAATTAAAGAATTATGTATAGCTAATTACATGTAGAACATATAATTATTTGGAGATTCTTTCTTATAACTTATTAGCTCACATAAAACATTCTTGTTTCGTATAATCGTTGGGAATGTGTCATAATCGAATTGATTGTTGTTAATCATAGGCTATATGTATCATCTGTGATAGAGTCTGCTTGGCATACTTGAGAGAAGACTTGGGATGGATGAAGCAGTGGCAGAGAGCTCATTGGCGAATTGCAGAGCTAAAGGAAAGAAACACTGCGGTTTTCAGCAGGATGTTGTTTTGGGAAAGTTGATGTGGCGAAGGTTCGCGTATAGGACCTTGGCCATAACTGGGGTTGGTACTATTTTCACTACTTTTGGGTGACTGCTGTATCTGTTTTGTTGCAAGGACAAGGCATGAATGCTTAGGGGAGCCGTTAAAGTCTAGTTGAAGAGACAGCAGAAAGTATTGTATAGAAGGTGCAAGCATTAAATTGACTCAACAATCTGTGATCTGGAAAGTTGTTGCCAGTCATTTACAGCGAGATGTTACCGCTTATTAGATTACCCTGGCAAGATGAAACATTAGAAGGCGAGGCTGGTGTCAAGGATATCTAATCCCTATATGTTTGCCAGCACTGGTAGGTTACTTTTGTGATTATGGTTATGCAATATTATCTGTGAACATTTTTTCATGAATTACTTCTGGTAGGAAAGTTGCGTTGTTATTTAGATGAAGTAGAGCAACCGATTATGTACACTACCCAGGACCTCTAGAATATAATCTTTTAAATTTAAGGCATTTAATTTATACTAATTTTTAATGTACAGGAGCAGGAGTCATTCGTGGCTATGACGCAGTAGGAGCAACAACAGAGGCAGCTGGTTTGGAAAAACCAGAACGAATTCGCTCATCAAACATGCGAAAATATATTGCAACAATGACACAAGTAGGTAGTTTCTGGGATATATCTATGCCTGTTCTTCCTTGATATCCCACAGCATGTGTGGTGATTTTACAAGTTGGTTCGTGGTCAAAGTTTTTGTAAAATAATGTATTTTTCAACAGTGAGCTATTTTTAAGAGGCTCATCTCCCTAGGCTTAAATGGAACTATTGAGGCCATTTCTTACTTCCAGTCATTTGACATATCACCGCAACAAATGGAGTGGGTGTGTGACCACCTTGGCCACTCAATGGATGTTCACAGAGCACATTACAGAGCCACATCAGACATCATAGAGCGAGTGCATGTGGCAAAGATACTAGTAATTCAAGATATGGGCCTAGTTGGAAAGTACCATGGTCGTGCTCTGCGAGATATTCCATTAGAAGGTACATTATATATATATATTCTTCAGTTCATACTGTTTTTTTGGTGTCTCTTAAATATCATTTACCAAATTTATTTTGACGAAAAATCCACTTCTTACATTAAAACGTTTTTGGTTTGCAGTGAAGTTTTTAGTTTTGTTCTTAGGTAATATAATGCAGTAAATGTTACATAATTGCTGCAGTTACTCAAGGTACACCGTGTATTTACACTATAATTATTTTTGTGAAATGTTTTAAAATTTATTCAGAACTGGTCATCGGAGTTTCAGGAGAAACTGAGGTCACTGAGGCTGTGCACATTCAACAGACTGAGAATGACACAGAGTGTCTTGATTTTGAAGAATATATTCCAAATCTGTCAGAGGATGAAGGGGCTGAAGGGGCTGAAGAGTTTGTTGACTTTACTGAGCGTAAGTATAAAAATGGCTTCATGGATACAGATGATACAAATGTACGCAAGTTTTATCTTGTAGCAATGATTATCTAGAAATCTAACTATGTTTTACCAGGATAGCCAATTTATGAGTGGCATGTCTAACTCATATATTTTTGACTTGCATATTATATATTGTAGATAAATAAAACATGATTCTTATTTTACAGCAAAACCCAAATCTGACTGCAAAAAAAGACTGGTAAACAGACATCATTGGACAGCAAGTGAAGAAGAGGAGTTGAAGATAATTTTTAAAAAATATTTCGAATCTCGATCAACTCCAGGGCAGGCATCAATAATAAAAGGAAAAGAAATAAGTGCAAAAAAAAACGGATTGATACATATGCTAAAAAGAGACAACATCAAGAAAAAAATTAACAACATGTTAAAAAAACTCATGTAAAAGTACTGGTGTTTACATTAGACTAGCAAATACCCGTGCTCCGCACGGAGTTGAATGTTTGGCCAAAGTCAACTGTGGCATATTGTAAACCGGTAAATATTTGCGGCTGGTTTTTTTGCGGTTCTGGTAAAATTTAAATAGCCAGCTAAAATAAAGACTGATTTGTAGATTGATATTAGAAGTTGGGTCGGTTATGGGGGTGGTGCTACCTTAGTCGTTTAAAAGATTTCCTTGTAGATGACATTTTGCGTGAGAGTCCTGTTGTTGAAAAGGCCTTGTGATGAATGTTTGTCCACTTTGATGTAGATGTTGGAGTAGCCGCTGGCACGTGAAAAGGCAACATATAGCTGGCCGTGTAGTCTGGTAGCTTATGCATTCCCGTGGGCATTTAATGATTAAAGCAAGA